TAAGAAGAATACTACCAATAAGTCAGCTTCGGGAAACCAGTAGTGGTTGGTGCTGAGGGATGCCCACCAAACCCCACCGTGAAATTCTCAACAGCTAGGTGTAAAATGGCTAGCTCACATAGTGTCCACGTGACAGGAAAGCTGGATGGCCAAAGGTGCAACTTTGTTATAGATTCTGCATCCCAGCAAACCCTTGTGAGTATCAAGGTGCTGGATCACAAAAGAGTATCAGAAGCTGTACAGAAGCTCTGTGTTGTGACAGGACATTATGCAAGGTTGTGGGGATCAGTGTGGGTAACTATTTAGCTCATGGGCATGAAGAACAGACAGAAAGTATACTTGGTTGACATTGAAGACCAATGCATATTAGGATTGGACTATTTACTACCAAGGAAGTGTGTAGTTAACTTCGATAAAATGACGTTTGGGAACAACAAAGGCCAAATTCCGGTAGGTGTTGCTGCATCTGTTGATTTGCCTGTCACAGCACTTAAATCAGCTACAATAATCCTATGTCAGAGAAGATAATTTGGGATAGAATAAAAGAACATCCCCAAGGAAGCCCAATGCTTGTGGAATCAGTGGAAGACCCATCCAGGCCAGTGGATTTGAAGATTGGAAGGTCACTTGTGACAGGTCATCAAGTAGTGCGTATAACAGTGGCCAATGTCTCTAAATGTGAGCAGACACTTAAGGGAGGGGCATTGTTGGGTGTGTGCCAGGAGGTAGAGCCAGTCAATGTTAAAGCAAGAAATACAACCATAAAGAAAGGAAATACAATCCCAGAACATTTAACTGACCTCTATAAGAAGGGCATAGTCCATTTGTCATCATCACAGGCTCTTCAGGTAAAACAACTTTTGGCAAATCATGCAGATGTCTTTTCGAAAGGAGATCATGACCTCGGCTGCACAGACCATGTAGAGCACAGAATAAACACTGGCAATCACCATCCAATAAAGATCCCTCCGAGGAGAATAGCTCCAGCAAAGCGACAAGAGATAGAGAAGGTCATGGATGGCCTAATTAAGGAAGCAATAGTCTAGAAATCAGATAGTCCCTGGTCAGCTCCTATCGTGTTAGCCCCGAAGAAGGATGGGACCCAACGTTGCTGTGTGGACTTCAGAGCTCTTAACAGTATAACCGAAAAAGACTGATACCCACTGCCAAGAACTGATGATACTCTCGATATCCTAAGTGGAGCCAGGTGGTTTTCAGCTCTGGACTTAAAGTCTGGTTTCCATCAAGTAAAAATGTCTGAAACAGATAAATCTAAGACTGCATTTAGATATGGCCAAGGTCTCTGGCAATACCATGTGATGCCATTCGGGCTTAGCAATGCT